GGCAAGCCTTGAGCCAGGTGTCGGAGTCGGGGCGATTCATGGCATCATGATAGGTGCATGGGACTTCAGTTTGGGCAATGCAAGCGTGCTCTTCGCCCACTCGTTTGGCGTACTGACCTGTTCTATCGTATGAATTGACAAAATATCGATCGTCGTCATCTCGAATCCGTGTACGCCGTTTGCACGTTGACCATCGGGGAGCTTCCGGCACCACTTCGTCCTCTTCCTCTCCCAACGTGCCAACCTCCAATCCCCCATCATTATCATCTTCCATCTCGTCCAGTCCACCATTCCCAACTTCTCCATCCACTATTCCCTTCTCACCACTTTCTGTCAGGGGACGGCTCCCGGGTCCCCATGACCCTCCCCTATGGTCCACAGCCTGTGGTGTAACCAGCCCTGTCCAGGGCACAACTACTGTGGGTAAGGAGATGAATAGATAAAGGCAATGTAGAATACACTTGCCTACTGTGGGTAAGGAGATGAGAAGGAAGCTAACTTCTCATCTTCCCACAGTGGCCACAATATCAGCAAAACTTCCGGGGATACCCGGAAGTCACATGAAGGGGTAGGAACCGGGCCCGGAGCATGCGGCGTGCGGAGCGTGCGCACATGCGGGAAGTGCGGTGGGTGGAAGCGGGTCCGGATGCGGGTCCGGGTCCGGGCTAGTCAGGGTGTGTGCCCTGACACTTTCCTCCACTGCCTTTCTAACGCTTCCATCACCCTCTGCCATATCATCCTTATCAACCATGTGTGAAGACAAATCCACAGACGAGGATTCAATTGTCACCTGTTCGGGTTCAGGTGATTCCTCAAAGAAGTGAACATCGCGGGATTCGTGAATTTTATGAGTTTCAGGCTCATAAATCACAAAAGCCTTCTTGCTGGTAGCCATTCCCAGGTGAATCCCAGTGATGGAACGTGCAGCAAGTTTATCTCATTGTCTTTCAGGAATAGCGAGGGTGGCTTTACAGCCAAAGGTGCGTATGGTAGAAACTGACGGCTTGTTTCCCATCCAGAGCTGGAACGGTGAAGTACCATCAGGGAGAGTGGAATGGGGAACAATATTTTTAATGAGTGCGGCATGTCGGAGGGTGTATGGCCAGGCAGATCGGCCAACGTGTGACTTGACACTTTCAAGCATGGCGATTGTCATCGTGACGAGTGTGCGATTGACCCTCTCGGCCACACCATTCTCTTGTGGCGTGTGAGGATTTGTCTTCTCATGGACAATCCCGATGTCCCTAAGGTATTCAGAGAACTTGTTGGAGAAGTACTCACCGCCTCCATCAGTGCGCAAGACCTTCAACTTCTTGCCTGATTGATGTTCGGCTTGGGCTAGGAAATCTTTGAAGGTCTCAAGAGCGTCACTTTTCTTCTTGATAGGATAGACAGTTAGGAAACGGGAGTAATCATCAATGAAGGTGATGAAATATCGGTAGCCCTTGCAAGTTACGGTTTGGACTTCGCACACGTCGGAGAAGACACGTCCGAGAATTTCACCAGAATGGGTAAGAGTTTGTTTCGGGATAGGGGAACGTGTGTGTCCTGATGCCTCACATTCTTCACAGTAGGCTGATCCATCCTTCATATCCCCGACTACTTCCATTCCCTTGGCCATACCGCTGTGGACCATCTTTAGAATAGATTGTGACGAGATGTGTCCAAGGCGGGCATGCCAGACATCAAGTGAAGCTGTCGCAGTAGTTGTATGAGCAACCAGCGTGGCCTCAACATTACCTTCCCTGGCACACCTAGAGATATATGCGGATTCTAAACCTGTCACAATGCAAGGCAACCTATAAAGGCCGCCAGAGGCCTTCCCGATTCCAAGGAGTTCACCACTGGGATTAAGGGGTTGACAACTACTGGGGGCGAAATAAACTCGTGCTCCAACTGAGGTTAGTTGTGTCATGGAGAGGAGGTTTGTGCCAATCTTTGGACAGTACAGTACGTTACTGATGATAACTTGACGGTCATTGGTTCCATTATGCAGAATGACTTCGATTTGACCTTGACCAATGGCAAAGAGGGCACGTTTATCGCCTAGATAGATTGGACGTGGAGGAAGGAGAGGTGAGTATGTCGAGAACCAGAGTCGATTAGCACAGATGTGAGATGACGCTCCAGAATCTATAACCCATTCAGTCATTCGCGCATGATCGCTGTCTGCGATCGCGGCATGTTCTTCCGCGAGAAGGACATCAATCTTTGCATCCTTTTTCTTAGCACCCTTCTGAGAACTCTGCCCATCGCCAGACTTGGCTGGGCGTTGCCCTTCGGAACCTCCACCTTCAGCCCAACACCGTTTGAAGGTATGTCCCAACTGCCGTTTGCAGTTTGGGTTGGTACAGCGCGGGCGTTCTTTCTTTGACTTCTTCCCATCAGATTTACCATTACTTTTGTCAGCGCTTTTTACGGTTTTGGCAACCAATGCAGTTGATGAAGCAGGTTTGTTCTTCCTTTTCTCTTCTCTGAGGATTTGGGCTATGAGCTTGTCACAGGCTATTGTTGAGGCGTCATCAAGATCCGCAAGGGCGATCTGCTTGAGCATGTCATACAATTCTGGGAGTGCCTCTGACACTATCATGGCGAACTTGGCGTCAGTGTAGTCATCACCTAGACTCGCCAATCAATCACGAAGTTCACGCATCTGGATCAGTTGAGGTTCCAACGGTTTGGAATCGTCCAGTTGATAATGGTGAAGTTGTGTCATTACTCTTGCAGCATCTAGGGCACCAACACCGTTATACCGTTTGAATAGCTGAACCCAAGCCTCTTTTGCAAAACGTTTACCGTCGATGAGGGCGAGTGGTGTGTCATCAATGGTAAGTGCAATCTGAGTCAAAGCCACGTTGTTCTTCCTGTCCCATTCAACAATCACAGGATCAGGAGCTGCAGCCTTTTGGTCAGAGGAGGTATTGGAGGATGAGGAAGATGAGGAGGAAGTAGAGGTAGGAGGATGAGGGGGGTCTGAGGTCTTCGACTTGGGATCGACGAAATCCCAAAGTCCTCGATCAATGAGAACCATTTGGCATCGGACGGCCCACATACGATAGTTGCAGCTGTCATTTTTAAGCTTATCAATACTGTGGAGACCTTTAGTCGTAGTAGCATCGTTTGCTGCAGTAGAAGACATTGGGCTCATGACCTAAAGTAAATAAGCTATACACGCAGTCTCAGTCTCGAACAAGAGAACTAAGTTTATTGTTCCTTTACCTATATGCGCAGTCTGTAAATACAGTCAGAACTCGCATACAAGGAATAAAGTAAAAGAAAAAGGATATCACCTCAGTCTCCAACAAGAGAACTGAGGGGGTGTGAAAAATTTCCGCGCACAGTGTGTTTTATACACCTAGCGCTAATATCGCTTATAGCGACTGCCTGCTATAACCGGCAATGAAGAGGACATCAAGACAAAAAGGTATATACGATATCCTCAATTGATATCACATCAATAAAGAAAATATCAGTACGCATGGACATTGATATTCCAATAGAAGTATCAAGTGATGATCCTTGTGGGGAACTTGAACGCTATCTCAACGACCCACTTGAACTGCTTGGAATGGACATCCTCGACTTTTGGATGGTGAGTGGTACCAGTATTTTGTCTCAACTACGCTTTAACTTCGAACTTATCTATACTAATTTTCAGAAAAAAGGCGCTACATATCCTGTCTTAACCTCCATCGCCCGAGATCTGCTCTCAGTCCCAGCATCCTCTATTCCATGTGAAAGGGCATTTTCTGCCGCTAAACACACTGACACTGACAGTCGGAACCGTCTCACTCCCGAGCATCTCGGGGCTATTCAAATCGCGAAGGCCGATTATAAGACGAAATGTTGGACTAGCGATGTTGTCGCTCAGTCCGCTATGCGTGAACTAGAAATATATTGGAGGTATTCACCTAGCGATGTTGTCGCTGGTGTATGAATATTAGATACAAGTTGTTAAACACATAAATGAAAGGAGAGAACTTAGACTCACCTCAGTCCGCTATGCGTGAACTGAGGAGAAGTCGTAAGGTCCAAAAATTGGTGTTTTATAGTCAGGCGCTATCAATGCGCACTGACTTTAGTAACAACTGATCCAAAAAAGGGAAACAAAGTAGATCTTAGCGCCGCAAGACTCAACATCAACAACGTGAGTTGGCCTCAGCGTACGCTTGTATCCCAAGAAATTTAACACCGATATGCAGCGTAACTACTTCAAGGAGAGGGAGGCAAGGAAGGCATTAGATGCAGCAAAGGTCCAAGAGTGGCAGGGTTATGTGGCAAATCTCATGATAGAACGCGCAGAGCGGGTGGGCCTCATTATGGACACTTAGAATGTTCCGCCGAAAATATAATATTTCATTGAAATTATCAAAAGTTGGTTCGAACTGTTCCAGAACCGAACCGAACCGAACCGTGGCACCCCTAGCTAGGAGGAGGCTGGACTCGTTCCTTAGGTTTAGTCTGTTTAACTTGCCTAGTTTTAGAAGGTCCAAGTCATTGGAGTGATTCGTACTAGTTCTTATCGATGGATGCCCTTTACATCGGGGAATTTTCATCTTGGGTTCGCTGTGGATGTAAGGGTGACTACAAGCGCGCCAGTTTGCGCTTCGCACGCTGACCCGGGAAAGAAGAAGGCAAACCGCATGTTACGTTTTTGTGCAGCGATGGGGACCTAAGCGATGGACATATTAAACCAACCAGGGAACGGTCCTCCTATCACACGTGAAGTCAATTGACCAATACTGGGCCACTGCGGACCTGCAGTGCTCAGAGCTTCGCAGGTGATGAACGGTTCGTCCGCGGTCTGTCCGTGGGATCATAGCCATTGTTCGTCGGACCATATCGAGTAACTGTACATTGGGTTCACACCCGTTGCAAGAGCAGGCGCTTATTGCGTGAGGGACTTCCCAATTAGTCGGCCTCAGGGCTGTGTGGTCATAACTGCACAAAGTCACCGACACTGTTGAATCTTGCTCGATCCTCATCACAATCTATCCGACATGAAGCGCACTAAAGAAACCAAAGGGAAAATGAAGATATTCTCGAAGACAGACGCATCATCGCAAAGTCACCAAGTTTCAAGGGTGCCTTCTCCAATACCCTTGCCATCGTCGTCCAGCAACACCAGAGGAGATATCGGGGAACATCCCAAAGGAAACACCAAGGGCAGCATTAAGGGAAACACCAAACAAGCTTCGGTGCCTTCCTCCACACCCTTGCCGTCGTCGTCGGCCGACCCTAGGGACGACACCAGAGTCAACCCCAAGGCGGATAATGAACGAGCCCCCAAAGGGAACATCGAGGACGATGTCAAGGGAAACACCAAGGGTGACGCTAAAGGCGACGCAGGTGCTAGTACCATTTGGAACGGTGTTAAGAGCGTGCTGCGCATTGCGCAGACGAGTCTGGATAGTGTCCCTGTTCCCGGCCTCAAAAGCGCGATCGGTGGTTTCCTTGAAGCAGTCAGCCAATTAGAGGTGTGCTCTTCCATAAGCGCTAGTGAGGACACCATGTTCAAACTCTTATAGAAAGTGGGAGCGAATACCGATGCGATTCGTCAGCTCCGGGAGAACATCGAATTCTTCAAAGATTCAGTATCCGAGCCTCTCAAACACTATGACTCTAAGAATCCCGTTCCTCCAAGGATTGATGAGGCGATTAAGGCTTTATCGACGTGTGTCCACATTTCTGGGTGCTTATCGGGTTCAGAACAACCTAATCGTTCCTTCCAGTCGACTTGCCGAGACTACTACACTATTGCAACCATTTCTCGACAAAAATTCTGTCTCCCGATGGGCGAATCGTGATGACATCGAAGGGAATGTTCGCCAGGCCGGGGAGAAGATACGCGATGCTGTGAGGGCCTTCCAAGTAGGTATCCTTCTGCTATGCATATACCAGAGATTGAATGCTAATGTCGCGGACGTAGGCTTCGCAAGTTGTCCAAATCCATTTAGGAATCAAGGAGGTACAGAAAGGAGTGAAGGAGGTACAGGAAGATATCCAGATTCAGTCTGAGGTACGGCAACGTTTGCCCCAGCTCTCTCAAACTCCTAAACTAACTAATATTTTAGCGGCTTGACAGCCTTATCAAGGTAGCTATCCATCTATGGACATGAAAATCATATGTTCTGACTAGTTTGGATACATAAACCCGACGAAACTCTGGAGGGAGAAGCAATGCAGTTTGAATCCTATCTCAACAAACTTCCCCATATCCTCGGCGCTGGTTATGACACCAACCGATCCGGTGCCCCATCTAACTGTTTCCCTGGAACACGAACCGAAATTCTCAATCATATCATGCAGTGGCTACACCGGCCAATCAGTGATACAAGTAAACCTGTGTTTTGGGTCAATGGTCTAGCCGGGATCGGCAAGTCTACCATTGCCCATACTATTGCGGAGTACGCCGACAAGCGCGGCCTCCTTGGTTCTAGCTTCTTCTTTGTCCGCCAGCATGCCCAATTGTCTAATGCGAAGTTCTTCCTTGGAACAATTGTGCGGAACATTGCTAAGAAACTTCCTGCATTCGGTGCGGCTGTTGTGGAGGCAATGAAGAAGGAAGAGAATCTTCCCTATGCTTCACTTTCCACTCAATGCTCCTTACTCCTCTTTGTACCCCTCCAAGGCCTCAACTTATCCAAGCCTCTTCTCCTTGTGATTGATGCCCTGGATGAGTGTACGCGAGATGATGTGGATGGAGTGAAAGAATTACTCCGTTGCCTTATTCCTGGCTGCACAGACATCCCCAGTCTTCGCATGCTCATGACAAGCAGGCCAGAATCCCATCTCATTGCAGATCTGAACCGAGCAGTGAATGTGGACAAGATTGTGATCCATGAAGTTGACAAGCATGTTGCTTTGCAGGACATTGAGTTATATCTTCACCATCAACTCAAGTCAATTTGTGATCGGTATAGGGACACTGTTCAGGATTCATGGCCAACAACTGTTATGGTCTCAGCCCTTGCAAGGAGAGCTGGACGCCTCTTCATCTGGGCTGCTACAGCTATCAAATTCATTGGTGATGATGATGTTCAGGATCCGATGTATCAACTGGACTGCCTCTTGAATGATGACTTCAATGGGGCTGATGTGGGTCCTTATGCAGAACTTGACAAGCTGTATGAAATGGTTTTGTCTGCTTGCATTGCCAAACTTCCACCTGGCATGTTTGCCCAGTTCCACCATATTCTACATACCATTGTTCTGCTCAACAATCCATTGCCCCTGAAAGCACTTGGTGCTTTTGCAATGGTTTCTAATCCCATATCAATGCTGACTCGCATCCAATCCATCATACCACTGCCTCCACAGCCTGAAGACAGAGTTGAGGTCTACCATCCTTCCTTCCCTGATTTTCTCCTGCAACGGTGTAAGGATTCCCAGCTCAGAGTTGATGTGGTGAAGCATGAGAGGTGGATGGCTCTCCGCTGCCTGAACCTGCTCATTACTGGGCTTGTTCCTGCTGTAGATGAAATTGTGCCATGTTACTCACTCAATGTGGGTGTGAAGGATTTGAGTGTGAAGCTCACTTCACTGGTGGGGGAAGAAGTGCAATATGCATGCCGCTTTTGGACCTTCCATCTAGGAAAGCTTCAGATTGTGGATGATGAAGTTAGAGATGCACTGGAGAAGTTCACTGGTCTAGGGACTGATGGGAAGGGCCTTTTGCTGCGATGGGTTGGGGTGATGGGTATGATTGGTTGTGTGGGTGATGCTGCCAGAGGCCTATACAACATTCTCCCATGGATGGTTAGTTACATACTCTATACCAGAGGATCATGGTACTGACTCAAATTAGAGGGCTACAATACACCTGGCACACATTGCCCTTGTTTTACATGAAGCCTTCTGGATGATTTTAACCTATGCACCAACCATTGAAGCCAGCTCAGCACATATCAGCCAGTCTGTCTTGCCAACCCTTCCCACCAACAGCAAGCTGTTAGAGGGTTTCCAACAAGTCCGTAGTCCAAGTGTAACTGTTCATGTTGGACATAGTGCAGAATGGCCCTTCAGTCTTGCCACTCTGGTTGGTCACCTTGGCACAGTGAATTCTGTGGCCTTCTCCCCAGATGGATTCCTCCTGGCATCTGCATCAGATGATTATACCATCAGGCTGTGGGACCCTCACAGTGGGAGCCACCTCAAGACACTTGAGGGCCATTCTGATTGGGTGACATCTGTGGCTTTCTCCCCAGATGGATTCATCCTGGCATCAGCATCACTAGATTGTACCATTAGGCTGTGGGACCCTCACAGTGGGAACCACCTCAAAACACTTGAGGGCCATTCTCATTCAGCAAGGCCTGCTTTCTCCCCAGATGGATCCTTCTTGGCATTAGCATCAGATGATTTCACCATCAGGCTGTGGGACTGTCATAGTGGGAGCTGCCTCAAGACACTTGAGGGCCATTCTGGTAGGGTGAGATCTGTAGCCTTCTCCCCAGATGGATCCTTCCTGGCATCAACATCAGATGATTCTACCATCAGGCTGTGGGACCATCATGGTGGGAGCCACCTCAAGACACTCAAGGGTCATTCTCATTTGGTGAGATCTGTGGCCTTCTCCCAAGATGGATTCCTCCTGGCATCAGCATCAGATGATCATACCATCAGGTTGTGGGGCCCTCAGAGTGGGAGCCACCTCAAGACACTTGAGGGCCATTCTGATCGGGTGACATCTGTGGCCTTCTCCCCAGATGAAATCCTCCTGGCATCAGCATCAGAAGATCGTACCATCAGGCTGTGGGACCCTCACAGTGGGAGCCACCTCAAGACACTTGAGGGCCATTCTGATTTGGTGAGATCTGTGGCCTTCTCTCCAGATGGATTCCTCCTGGCATCAGCATCACATGACCATACCATCAGGCTGTGGGACCCTCACAATGGGAGCCACCTCAAGACACTTGAGGGCCATTCTTATTGGGTGACATCTGTGGCCTTCTCCCCAGATGGATTCCTCCTGGCATCAGCATCAGATGATTCAATCATCAGGCTGTGGGACTGTGGCAATGGGAGCTGCCTCAAGACACTAGAGGGCCATTCTGATTGGGTGAGATCTGTGGCCTTCTCTCCAGATGGATTCCTCCTGGCATCAGCATCAGATGATTGTACCATCAGACTGTGGGACCCTCACAGTGGGGGCCACCTCAAGGTGCTTGAGGGCCATTCTTATTCTGTGAGATCTGTGACCTTCTCCCCAGATGGATTCATCCTGGCATCAGCATCACTTGACTATACCATCAGGTTGTGGGACCTTCATAGTGGGAGCCACCTCAAGACACTTGAGGGCCATTCTCATTTGGTGGGATCTGTGGCCTTCTCTCCAGATGGATTCATCCTGGCATCAGCATCACATGACCATACCATCAGGCTGTGGGACCCTCACAGTGGGAGCCACCTCAAGACACTTGAGGGCCATTCTCATTGGGTTACATCTGTGGCCTTCTCCCCAGATGGATTCCTGGCATCAGTGTCAAATGATCATACCATCAGGCTGTGGGACCCTCACAGTGGGAGCAACCTCAAGACACTTGAGGGCCATTCTTGTGGGGATTCTGGCTTGGGCCCTTTTGTGTTCCAAAATGGGGTTTTAAAGTCTGCTGTGGTTGTTAAGGATGGACAATGGCTGTGTGTTGATTCATTATATATTTTCTCTCTACCTCCTAATTATCAACCATCTACCTGGGCTTCACTTGGATCTTTGGTGGCTTTTGGATCCAGAACTGGTCAAGTCTTGAGTGTTGATCTATCATTTGATCTTGATAAGCTTGGCTGCATGTAAACTCACATGTATTTGTTGTATTGTCTGTTAGAAATGGTTCTGGAAGATTAAACTGGAGATTCAATGGGGAAGGACCTTGGCCTTGTGAGATACTGGACAGGTTGGTGCCTGTCAGGGCATGGCCCTCCTCCTCACTCACCCTCAGATGCCCTCTCCCCTTCCCTGACCACCCTTTCCCCATATCCCCCCCCCCTATTCTTTCCCCATTGTTTCACACAATGATGCATGCATGCAGACTGTGGGAACATTCTGGGCAAGCAGCTTGCCCAGAATTTTCCCATGGTTAACACTCATTATGGAAGGTCAGCAGCAAGCAGGAACTGTATAGTTCCTAGGGTCCTTTTGTGTTGGCCTCACAGGGGACTGAGAAGCTTGTTGGAGGAAGGGATCAAGTGATCTCCCAAACCATCAGGGAAGGGGTACCCCCCCCTGGCATAACGGGCGAGTAGTGTATGGATGCACGCTAGAAGTCCTGGGTTTGATACCAGGCTTGTCCATTTTATGTCATTTGTCTAGTCACGCTGGTTTACGTCATAAGAATTTGGAGCTCCAGATAAGTCCAGTAGTTGCACCGGATACAAATTTCCTCAAAGCTTACCCTTCTTCTCAGCTCATTCCCTGTGAAGCCTGAGGCTAGCCCCCTCAGTGACTTTGAGGAGCTAACAGCTGGGGAGAACACCCCAGCTTCCTGTCATATCCATACATACCTGATCCCAATTTGACTCCCAGACCCCTCTCCACCACCTCCAGAGTCCTACCCTATTCCTGTTAGAACGGGCGGAAACAGACGACTCTGGAGTGGAATTGGAGACTTAGCGTGGAGGGACCTTGGCCTCAGCGACTCAAGCGGAGCGCTGTGCCATTGCTGTTTGTCCATTTGGTCCTTAATTTCACAGTAGGTGAGCAGGAAGTCTCTAGGGGGCATTTCAGGTTGATTTCGGACTAAACCAAAACGAGTATGTACAAGCGCCGATATATATAATGGAAGGGGCAAAAGCACAAGGAGAACAAAGGGTAACTGAATCGGAACGAAGACGTCCGAACGGGAACAAAGGGTAGAAGGAGCGGAGCGGTACCGAAGGTCATAAGGCAGGACCTGTGATACATCCGAAAGGAGGTAGGAAGGGCGAGGCCCAGAGGGGCAGGAGGATGAGGGGAAGTGGGGATGATGATGTCAGGGATGCGTCCAGGGTAGAGGGGGTCCAGATGTAGTTCCCGGCAGAGGGGCCCTTGCAGGGTGTAAACCAGGTGTGCGTACTGGCGGGTCTGGAAGGGACAGCAGTCCCTGGCCACTCAGACTGAAGTGGAAAAGGTGAGAAGAAGGTT